CTGAAGTGGACCTGAACCACCTCCTGAGGTGGAATAACTTTAGCTCGGGCTAAGTGTTTTTCGACCTTTATTACTGGGGTTTATCCCGCTTCAGGTCCGGACCTAAAGCGGGATAACCCCCATTATGAATGGGGTAATGAGGGGGGTTTGTAAGGGGGGGAGGGAGAATTTAGAGCGAGCTAAAGTCGAGATACCTTTTCATACTGACGTTAGCTCGGGTCTGAAGCGGACCTGACCACCCCCTAGAGCGGGATAACTTTAGCTCGAGCTAAGGGTGTTTCGACCTTTCATACTGGGGTTTATCCCGCTTCAGGTCCGGACCTGAAGCGGGATAAACCCCAGTGCGAAAGCGGCATGACATCACAATTGTTACTTCATGAAACCTGCAGGCTAATTAAGTTTTTCCAGTCGTGCAGAACCTGCTGATCCTAATCGAATTCACTCATGTAAAATAGTTCATTCTGGGTCCATTCAACAAATCACAACAGAGCTTAAATAATTCATGTACATAAGAAAAACTTTGGTATTTATACTCAACCCAATCATACATTGGTTAGGTGTCAGAACTATTAGATAGTACGGACACCTACCGTTCTTGTACTAGCAAACGTTTTTGGTACAGGTGCGTGAGTGCGTGCGTGTGCACGTACACGTGTGGGTGTGCACGTACACGTGTGGGCGTAAACACCGCCACCTTTCAATACAGGTTGCTATGTACGCTAGCGATATCGTGCTCTCCTCTCCATAGAGGGCATTACCAGTGATCACCAGGAAAAAAATTTAGTAGTAGGTAGTTAAAAAAATTTTGGGGGCTACTTTTCAAGCTCGCCTGCATGAAAATAGCACTCTAAAATTTGGTTTGCATTGAACTCTATGCAAATTTCCGGGGGCTCTTTTTGACATTTCCGGGGCTCTTTTTGGCATTTCGGGGGCTAAATCGCCCCGAGCCCCCGTGTATTTTTTTCACTGGTGATCACTACCTATCCCAGCGCGCAACGCACGAGCGATATTTGCGAATAACACTATGCTAGAAACATATTCAGTCTGGCGAAAAGGTTTTGCGGGCACGCTATGAATTTTTACGCAGTAGAACGCAGTATGAACGTCTATGGACGTACTGCGATCGCGATGCAGTCACCATGAGCATGTTCAAAACAATCGTGGTGCGAGCGTGGCAGAAAGACAGCGCAGTGCGGGCGCATTAGAGACGTGGAAGGCGTAGCAGCCACGTAACTCGAGCGTAGTACGAACTTAATGATCGTATCGCAAGCGTGTCGGGTGCATGAAAATTGTCTCCCCGTTCTCAGCACGATGTCAATACGTTTTCAATTTTCATCCCGCTGTTACTACGTCCGAGCGTGATTAAGTCACACTAAGAGCGTGACTGGCGCACAGTTGAGGCGCGGTGAGCGTTGCTTAGGCGCAGTGAAAGCGTCGTTTGAACGCAATGCGATCGGATTGATCGCAATAAAGACGCAGTGGGTGTAGTGCAAGCGTGATGCGGGCGTGGTGTTGAGCGTGGTATGGAGCGTGGTGAAAGCTTGTTGGGCGCAATGAGATCGGGGTAAAGACGCACTTAGATCGTAGTATCGGCGTTGGGGCCCAATTGGCCACTCTCTCACCACGCTCAGCCAAATGTTTTGAGCGTGGGGCGATCGTGATGAGCGTAGCTCTAGTGTGACGGGGGCTTTAGCTCCGGACGTGAATATTCAGTTAATAGTGTACACTATATATACGTGGTGCACGTGTCCATGTCATTTTATATAGATAGAGGTAATAGATAGAAAAGCAAGCTTGATACATGACATTTACCCGCACACAGCTGTCGATTAGTATGTGTACTATTGGTTACAGCGATTGGCCACGCTACTAATAGTGCACAAAACCAGTTGATTCTAAGAAGTGGAAAGCGGTCAGTACGATCACAGCTCCTCCTCCGTGCCTACTAACAAATGTGGGCCGGCCGTAAACCAGTCGGCATTCTTGACATTCTTGGCATTTTGCAAAGGGTGTTTCAGCCAAACACGGGCAATGCACTGGCACAGGTGTAACAGCGGTTTGGTCGAGACACCGGCATTTTATCCCTAGAGCAATCAACCACCTGTTCTCACCCACTCACCTATTACAATGTTCAGGGGTAGAAATTAACTTTTGAACAAGGGAGGCCAACGGACACCCTGCACTTAAAAAGAGGGAGTCCGCATCAAAATGAGGGAGTACGCAGTCTGAAGTTCAAAACTAAAGATATTAAAACAAGAGCCGCAGAGCGTCTGGGCTCATCTGAGGTCTGTTCTACGGTTATAAACGTAACATTTAAGTCGTGCGTAGTGACACCTTTGTAATAGGCGCAGATATGCAGATACGCAGTTGCGTACACATCATTTCCGCAACCTTCTGCATACCTCCCAAATCCCATTGGTTGATACAAATCGCGTGCCTGAAACTCGTGTTTTATGGTGCATTGTGACCCTAACCATAACCCTATTTTTTTTAAAGTTTAAATAAATCATGTAAATATTTGCGTTAATTGGAAAAAAATTGTTAAATGGATAGATAGAAAAATACAGAAAACAGGTAAATAATAAAAAATCAGATGGGTTTTCGATCCAACGACCTTTGAGCCGTGACGCCTGTGCTGTAGGCGTTCGACTATCCAGGCTTATTGGGTTTCTAGATTATGGATGTGCCATGAATATGACAACACTGTGACGTCATTGAGGCAGTTCAGGAATCCATGTGTAACCCTCCTCTTGAGCGTCAAAAGGTTATCAGACACTTACTCTTCGCACGTCAGTGGAAAGCACATTTCGTGGTCCTTTCAATAAAGTGATAAAAATGGTAGGTCAGCGCTGAAACAAAATAGTTTTCCACGCTGTCCATTAGGCCATGTCCTCAGAAAATGTCTGATATCTTTCCCCCACTGCCTGTTCGCACGGTTAATTTCGCACCCTGTTACAATGTATAGTACATGCCTTAAAAACAAGAAGATGGGCAGGTTTCATGAACAAACAAAAAACCGTACACAATGATGCATGTAAGACAGCCATGAAGTACAGCAGAGTTTAAATTTAACATATATATATATCTCAAATAAATTCAAATACACGTATAGAGAAACTAGACTAGACAGCAGTGAAAAAAATACACGGGGCTCGGGGCGATTTAGCCCCCGAAATGCCAAAAAGAACCCCCGTAAATTTGCATAGAGTTCAATGCAAACCAAATTTTAGAGTGCTATTTTCATGCACGCGAGCTTGAAAAGTAGCCCCCGAAAAATAAATTGTATATTTTTCCCTGCTAGACAGAGTGCACTCACGGAGAGTGCATACCTCCGCCAGCGACATACGCCATACGACTCACGAACACACGAATAATCCACGATATACGCCAGCGTACTATCGTAGCTCTGATAGAAGTGAAGAGATTGCTTAAGCAATCGATGATTGCTTAAATGCTTATAGTATAACATATTAGTAATAGTATAAAATCAAGAGCATATAAAGAAGGAGAGCGTACAACGATAAAATGTTGAAACCATGTTGCAGTATTAGTCGAATTAATAAACTTTCCCTGTTTTATTTTGACGATTCTTTGCAGTATTATTGATCAGCTGTCCTACCTTGTTCTTATAAAACGAACCGCATGTCCCTATGATGCCCCTACGCTCAGATAATGAGCTGTGAAAATCTGGTATTTTCGCCGAACACCGACTAGACATTAGTCAGTTACTGTGACTGTCTCTCGAAGTGTTATAACTTGGTAAACCTCGCGTGTTTCCGTCAATGATTGACAAATGGAATGAATGACGTCTGTTATTGATTGCCATAGTGATGACCCCCACCTGTGCCCACCTCACCCCCACCTCACGCTGGATGTATAGTAAACTCTGGTAGTATGACGTGAGTCAGCGCCACTATGGCGCTACACAGCCGGGACCGGAAGCAACACACTGGCAACAGTGTAGGCCGTACACTCCGCCCACACGAGAGACGGTCACAGTAACTGACTAATCTAGTTGGTGTTTGGCGAAAATACCAGATTTTCAATGCTCATTATCTCAGCGTAGGGGCATCGTAGGGACATGCGGTTTGTTTTATATGAACAAGGTAGGACAGCTGATCAATAATACAAAGAATCGTCAAAATAACACGGGAAAAGTTTATTAATTCGACTAATACTGCAACATGGTTTCAGCATTTTACCGTTGTACGCTCTCCTTCTTTATATGCTCTTGATAACATAATAGCAATAGTAAAGTAACTATAGTACTAAAGTAGAACATTATCTATATTATGACACTACTGATACGACATACGACTCCCGAACACACGAATAACCCACGATATACGCCCGCGTAACATCCATGCTCCCATGCAGCGTAGCTCCCATGTAACATGTATGTGTTACGAGCTGGCTCGCTGCCTCGACGCGCTAATATCGATCGCGCGAACACACTAACACACGAGACCGATCACATAACCTCCTCCAACTCCGTTGGGCGGAGGTAATTAATGAATTTACATAGATTTAGCCCCCCCCCATTTCAGCGCACATATTACTAATCACTTCAGCATAAATATTTTACGTAAAAAGTATTTCCGTTTAATTCCCCATTAAAAATATATCACCAGGAAATGCCAGTAAATGTATTTAAATTTAGTATATTAAAGTAATTATTACGAATGTTTTCCATTGTTTTCACCACTTTCATGATACCTACCGTTATTGCTTGAGTAACAGCAATTGTCTAGTCTAGAGTAATGATAAAATGTCTTAGAACCTTTGAATTCACCAAAACATGCAATTTTCGAACTAGTCTGGTAAACAATCGTTTGCTGTAATCTTGAAACTAGAGCCGGTAATTTTGGACTAGCTAGTAGCGCCACTGCCTATCTGCCATAGACATACAGTCTCTCTCAAATGAAGTTGTTTTCAATTAATCACCGACAATTTACAAGTTTACCAATTCTGCCATTATAGCGACACGATAAAATGCAATGCTGTTACGATGTGTTCATATCCAATTTTCTATGCTATAAGCATATAACTAAACTGCATAAAATCTTAGTGTTTTTAATGCTGGTGTAATCAGTGATATAGCCGCTGTGAGGTGAGACTATAGACTATAGTATATTTCACTAAATTTTTTTTGGGGGGGGGTTGAGGGTTTCTGCGCAAAACTCTCATAATAACAACTTTAAAATACATGTTTTTATACAAAGTTACAAACCCACCGATTGATAGCATTTATACTAGTTACTACACAGAATCCACATACATCAATGAAGAGGTTGACAGACTGGCTCTTTACTGGAGGTAGTGCATATGACACGCCTACACAACTGTACTTATGAGTCAGTCGCCTGCTGTACTTTTGCTACTATGATTCATTCAAGCATGGATGTAGAAGGGAATTAAACCACGTGCCAGTTCACACACCAGCAAAATCCACGAGCATATACGGCGGCTGTATATGTGTTGACTGTACTGTAGTGATGTCTTCTACAAGCGCAGAGCATCGCAGCAGCACCCACTCAAAGATATTGCAGTTGCAGCAAAGCTAGTCAGGACACCAGCTCGCTGTTCATAAATCAATACTTTCTATATAAGGAGCAGTACATAAACTACTATATATGCACGGAAGCAATTTCACTAATAGTAATACTAGCACAATCGAGATCAATTAACAAAATGAAAAAGGGGCATTTAAGGAGAACTAATGATTATCTGGTGTACGTACAATACTACAATAGCTCAGTCTAGAACAACATACGATAATCGACAATTGCTTGGTTCTCCGTTATGAGCTATGGCCACAGAACTACAAACATGATAACTTGGATCAGTGCATGTGAAATGTCCTCAGGAAACATTACAGGGTCACACTACAAATATGATTCTTTCACATGCAGCTGCACAACCACAGTCAGAGTAAGCAATACAAATAATTCTACTACAGCATCAAGTGCTTAGAACTATTCATAGGGGTATTAAGAGGGCTACAGGAGTATTGCACAAATATAAATAATACATTGATTTAAATTTACCTGGGTTTGCCATTACGGCTACAGGTGCACAGAACTGATACATTCGATACAAACAAATGCCCAATGTTCAGTGTAAAATGGCCATTACATGCTGATATAAATTATGCAACATGCGCTTTGGATTCGGTTTGTTCTAAGTTGTTTTAACTCAAAATAGCATGAGTGCTTCATACTGAGATCAAACTTTACCACAAATAAATACAAAACAAGACCTAACATGCACCAGCAGACTAGCAGAATCGTTAAAAAAATTCTCAGATGAAATAAATGTTTTGCATTGTGCTACACCATGTCATGAATACCTAGCCACAGTGTAATTATAAATATATATTATCAGGAGTGACACAATATAGAGGAGTATGACTTTCAATTCTTTCTTGAATTCAATATTTCCACTCCCCAGTTTACCTATGGTCTATTACGGGAAACTCAATAAAAATAACATGATCAGAAGTAGCGTTGCACATGCCACTTGCCCTCACACTTCAGTGTGTATCGATACCTCTTCTTATATATATATATGTAGTTATACTTATATAGCTTCGATCGTCAGCCATGTCACATGGTTTTAGTCATTCACTTTGGCGAGCGGCAGGCATTCACGGTCGATGCAAGTAAACAATTGGCAGCTCGCGATGAGATGCTGTTGACGGGGTTCGGCACGGATATGCAACTCGCAATTAGTAGTGGGCTCTAATCGCTGGCTCGGACCCGTGCCACGGCTTCGAGTGCAGATAAACAGATGTCGTATGACATGGTTATATAAAATCATTCGTAATAAGCTTTCGTTTTGGTGACATTTTGGAAGTTTTTACAATGTGATCTCGGGAGAATTTGCAAGTTGCAAATCCCTGGCGAACCTTGTCAACAGCATCTAACTGCGAGGTGCCAATTGTTTACTTTCATCGGCCGAGAATGCCTTCTTGTTTCGAGCGACATACTCCTCTATGTTATGACACTCCCAATATTATTTTAGTCACCTCCTCTTAGCTCTTACAACTTGCTTCAAGTGCAACCCACTCTCATCTCAATTTCCAGGGAAAACACTGCACTCAGGGTAAGACCGGATTGTAACTCATTTCTAGTAACTGTGACTAATAAATAAAAGTTCATGCCTTAAAAGTTCCCCCCAACTTTTAAAGCATGAACTCTTATTTATGCATCTACAAATATTTTAATAAACATGTTTATAGAAATTTTTGATGCCAATATAAAATAAGGGCACTAATACTACTGCATACTAAAGTTAACTGTTTAAATAATAATTATCCATCATGTCAAGTCAATTTACAAATGATCAATTTACAATTTGCCGTATCTTTGAAATATATCATATCCAGCAAAGATAATGTACTAATGATACTAACAATTACAGAAATCATCTAAATGTACTTTTAAATTATAAGTACATGGATAAGGTGAGTATATATGCCATAGATAGAATCATTTTACCATTATTATTGGTGCTATAGGACAGGCGTTGAGGCACCTGTCAAGTTTCAGCGACTAAACTCCGAGACCCAGTTTTGAGGGTGCAATAAATTGGGAGTCTGTACATTCCATACAACCATGGCATACTGATTAACGGTTGCATGGTAAACTAGGTCTAAATAAGATTTTGAGAGGGGGCAACACCCACTGTAAATACTGAATACTTCATAACATCCCTCAAAACATACCGGTAGATCACGAGTACAACATTACGAGATATTAATACTTCAATAATTCTTAAAGATGCAACACAAAATGATTCCAAACATTTGCTAACTAAAGTAATGCAAATAGGACATACACGGATATTTTGCGATACACCCTGTTGTGATTCACAGGATTTTAAGAATCATTCATTGATATTTGGTGTGTAGATGAAAACGGGGTTTAAAAGCAGTGTCACTGAGCATGATGTTGAGGGTGATTGGATATATATTTGATATATACACTTTGTAAATTATAATTTCAACATAACGTTGAGATCTTGTTGTTCTACTAGTACTATTACTAAGCATGACTCATTACATTAGGTTCCGCCGCCGTCTTCCGTTGCCTTGCTGGCATAATGCCAACAGTATTCGACATGCCGGTTACATTACTACTACTGGAATATATCGGTGACCATACTAGTTCCTAATTGTAGCAATCACTCAGCTGTTTCAATTTTGTATAGCCAAGACTCTATCGCCGTGTGTGTAAGAAAATGCTCTTACTATATCAACATTGATATGGAGCTATTTCTCAACCAAATAGAGGGGCATTTTGACATACGATGGGTAGAGCGACAGCTTTGAGGTAATACATCTTTAATTTTAGACAACTTACCATCATATCTTTCAGCCTGTTCCGCTAGCTTTGCTTGATACACACTATCCTCGCGTTCCGTCATCTTGGATGGTTTTGATTTGTGTAAGTTTCAGGTAGATTCTAGTAGACTAGGGTGTTCTTGTGATAAGCAATATGGCCGCGCCCGCCAACACACCAAGTAGTGCGGTTGACTCCCACAGTTATCTCATATCAATGCGCGACGCACTATTTCCACCGCTGCGTCAACCACAGAAAATAGTAAAGAGCAGATAGACAAAGACAGAGGTTCAGTATTATAATTATAGCTCTAACGACTTCGACCGTAACAACGCGGTAGAATATTAAATATATCAGATATATGAACGCAACAAACTCTAATTACACAAAAGCATACTTATTCTATATATGGCTGAAGGGCACTATGAATATAGTGAGCGAATATAAAGGAAGTAAGATAAAATAAATGTCAAATGGCCTACACGAACGAAAAAATTGCCGTTTTAATTAACACTATTTTCTACCTATTTCAAGACGCCATCACGTTTTAGTTCATTTCCTCACTTAAAAATGTATAACACTTTTTTAGCAAATTTCTTAACAATATCACAAATGAGCAAATAAAGGTCTTTTATTGGCATTCATTCGCCGTGACCGACATGCATGAGTAATTACTTGTGCATAGGAAACGAGGAAAATTACAGGAAACATAATTATTGGGCATAAAAAAGAAGGTCGTTACAATAGGTTTGGAGGCGGTGTATTTACTTTTACAAATTAGAAATATCTTAAGCAAATCTAAAGATAGAAAAGGCCAACGCGCAACAAAGCCTATACACGGTGTGTGTGTGTGGTGTGTGTGCGCGCGCGCGCGTGTGTGTGTGTGTGTGTGTGTGTGTGTGTGTGTGTGTGTGTGTGTGTGTGTGTGTGTGTGTGTGTGTGTGTGTGTGTGTGTGTGTGTGTGTGTGTGTGTGTGTGTGTGTGTGTGTGTGTGCTCTCTCTCTCTCTCTCTCTCTCTATGGGTGTGTGTGTGTGTCTCGCTCTTGCTCGGGCGTTTTCGGCTCTCTCAATCCTCTCGTCTCCAACGATTTTATTGATCGCTGCCATGCAGTTTCGCTCCCTATTTTTTAGATGGGCTCAACTGAAACCTATCGCTGCGCGAAAACAGTGTGCGTGCGTAGAGCGCTGCGGGAATCGCTGGAATGAATGAGAATTTGCGATGACGTCCGTCTAGATATACATTTGCCAGGCGCTGTGCGTTCGCGGCGGCATGATTGCGTTTTGCTCCGAAGAATTTGGCTCGTTAGTCATTCGAACACAGAATCAGGCGCATGGTCGGATTGCTGCGATCTCGATCATCACACCGCCCCTTTGCCCTTTCCTCCCCCTCCCTCTCTCTATCCCGCCATCCCTCCCTCACTCCCTCTTTCCTTCATTCCTTCCCCTATCTGTCTTCCTTTCATTCCTCTCTCCCACCCATCCCTGCCCTTATCTCTCTCTCCCCGGGGTTCTCCTACGGAGTTTTTCTTGCTTTCGTTAGCGTCTAATTCGATTGTCCGACTATAGTGGACCTCCGACTATGTAACAGTGCACTTGAAAACGTATAGATTGCACGTTGCACGTCTGTACATCGTGGGTAATACACGATTATATCCTATACGGGGATATATATATATATATATATGTATATATATATATATATGTTATATATATATATATAGTACAGATATATATATATATATATACCTATGTTAACAATATCCACAATACAGACAGCAACA